CTTCTTCGGCATCTTTATATAAAAAATTGGAAGAAGACTACACTTTTCCAGATATGTACTCGGGTGTGAGGTAATTTTGAAATTGCTTAAGAACAGCAATACGGCCGGTAGGTGTAGAAAATTATAATTATTTCGGCCAGATCTTTGGGCATAAAAAATCGGCATCCAAGCTGGCATAAAAATGGTCTAAAACTAGCAAACAAACAGAATCTCTCTGGCACCCTGCCAGTGCCATGATAGTTCTAGGCATTATCAGATCACTATTATGATACTGAGTCGGATCCTCAAATTACATGTTCTAAAGATCGGCCAGAATTATGTCATAGAGCTGGCCAAAATTAATCACAAATCTATTGTGCTACCCAACACAAAATTTTTTTTACCACATTTTGGCATCTAGAAAGGCAACCAAATAGGTGCAAAAAGGTAAATACCTCAATATAGAATCAAGTACCCAGACCAGCACAGAGGGCCAGCACCCTCAATATAGATTCAGGCATCTAAACAAATATAGAAGGCCAGTACCAACAATAAAGAATTTGACATGTAAATGAATTAGGAACAAGAAGGAAATAGCAGTATTTAGATTACATGCTGGTAGTTAGATTAAATAGTGGGTAGTAGTTAGATCATATAGTGTTAAAATATAAATATCAGAAAGAGTTCAAAGAGATAGCCAGAACATAAAATAGATATCTGATATAGAAAATATATAGATTATATAGTAGCAATTAGATTATGTGTTTAGATTATATAGTGTTTATTAGATTATATTATTTAGATCATATAGTGGTGTTTAGATTATGTAGTGCTATTCAGACTACATAGAGATATCTAGATTATATAATGATATTCAGATTATATAGTGGTATCTAGATTATATAGTAATACTATAATCTAACTTAAGTGGGATACCACCTGTAATATAATTATATTACAGGTGGTATCCCACTACTGATCTTTTTTTCCAAAAGGCATATAAAGGGTTAAAGAACACTATAATATGTTTTGAAAAAAAATTTATTATACGAAACTATGAATTGTTAATTGACGATATGGTTTTTCATAGTAAGGGTTACTTTAAAATTTTTTTTATATTGTGTAACCTAGTGATCTTCAAGCCAATCAAATCGAATGTCTGTCATGCTGGCTTGGACAGTTTTTGGACTATTTTGATACTAAAATGTCCAAAAACTGTCCAAGTCTATGCTCCAATTTTAAATAATTAATGAATTAATTTAAAAATTATATAATTATAAATTTTTTTTAGATGCCAAATTCACTTTTGAAAAAATTAAAATGGATTATCTTAATAAAATTTTATGTAATTTTAATTTGAAAAAATGTCCAAAAATGTCCAAAAGTGCCCATGTACAACACTGCCTCTATTTGTTGGTTTCAGAATGATATGTATTTCATAAATAAGTACTATTTCAAATAATATTTTGACAATGTTGAATTATATAATCAGAAAATGAAATATAGTAGAGTTCTTAATTTATTTAAATGAAGTTTAAGGTTAACAATTTCGAAAATGAGAGAGATTTAAAGATATCGAATTTTTAGTTATGAATGATCTGATAAAAAAAAAAAAACAAAATTTTAAATTTATCTAAGTACATGCCGTAACAGATATGTATAAACCAAATTAGTAATTAGTTTATTAAAGTAGATCCTTTCAACTCTAATCCCAAAATTCGATTCATGCTCACCTACTAGTTCAACTTGAAATCAAAGGAATAATGAGTAGGCTATTCTAAATGCCTTATTTGTTGAATATCGACTAATAAAAGTAAATAAAAGCAATTAGATGTGCTTACAATAATTAAATACCTCAAGCGGAATTAGAAATAAAAATACTTTTCTTTATGAATTATCGTTATTGACTAAGTAGGCATGAATAAAAAGAAATCAATAAATAAATAGTAAATATCGGGAATATAAAATTAACCTAATTAGAATCGGTTGAAATCGGCGTGGTTAACTTATTGATGATTTGACATCTTGTCTAAGTCACTAGTGTCAATTGTGCAATGCCATGTGTTATTTAATAAAATCATTGATCAAAGAACAGAATCTAAAAAAAATATTTTTTTTTTTGGCGAATGATATTTCCACACCCTTTTTTTGATATTTCCACACCCATGTAGATCACTTTTTTAAAAAAAAACTTTAATCGAAGTTATCTCGCCGACCAACTGATCAAATTCGATGAATTTTTTTATTGGAATACTACAAGTATGCAGGATTTAAATAAAAAAAAAAAAAATCATCGAATTGATCAGGTGGCTATCGAGATACCTTAAATCAAAGTTAGATAAAATTTTGCCGCTGCTATTATATTGATAGACGCTTAGATCTTTTTCAAAGACTTTGATCGAAGGTATCTCGACGACCAGCTGACTAAGTTCGATGAATTTTTTTTTTTATTTAAATTTTGCATAATTGTAAATTTCAAATAAAAAAATTTTCATCGAATTTGATCCAGTGGTCGTCGAGAAAACTTTGATCAAAATTTTTAAAAAAAATCTAAACGTCTACCAAAATAATAGCCATGGCAAAATTTTCTCTAACTTTGATTGAAGGTATCTCGATAACCACCTGACCAATTCGGTGAAAAATTTTTTTTATTCGAATTCTGCATACTTGTAGAATTCTAATAAAAAAATTCGTCGAATTTAATCGGGTGGTTATCGAGATACCTTCGATTAAAGAGTGATCTACATGAGTGTGGAAATATCAAAAAAGGGGTGTGGAAATATCATTCGCCTTTTTTTTATGCTCTAATTTTTAACCAATTAGATCACGAGTTTCGATATGACTTGTTATAAAATCTTTAATTAGAATGGTCATTTCAGTTGACCGGCCTGAATAGCTTTAGCAGCACGAAGATTTTTTGTTGGTCTGCTTCAAAAGTCTGGATTAATGATGAAACATCAAAGGGTTAGTTATTAAAGACGAAGGCCTAATTCTCTAATTCGCTTGCAATTTCTTCTATTTAATTTAATGACAAAATTATTATTTATTTAACATGTACAAGGGGGTACAACGGGTTACCGAACAATTTACAAGTAAATTGTTCGGTAACCTGTGGTACCCCTGTATGTTTACTTGTCCATGTCATACATGTAAATATAACCATGTGTGAATATTCTGCCTGATGACGACCTCACTACCTAAACTTTCTTAATGAAAAACTAAAACTGGAGTTATATTCGTGTAATAATGTATACTTATTGTACGTAGTATATTAAACATCTGTAGAAAGGCCTTTGTAACCGAAGTCATGATGCTAATGATTTTATTTTATTGAAAAGATATAATTTTGGTATCTCATTTTATTAAATATATTTGGTTGATAACAAATTTTTTGGCAAGTCTTTATCTAAAACCATTTTCCGAACTAAAAAATGATAGATATTATTATACTTCATATCGAAGAATTAGAAAATTGGTTTGATCGGGAAAAAAGCATTCGATGAAAACTTCTATCGGAAAAATGGGCTGCCAGAAAATATACGTTGTCAGGAAATAAGGTTGTCAGTATTATGGGATCAGAGAAATGATACTTCGGAAAAATAGGTTTCAGGAAATTGAGCAACAACGCTTTGTAACAATATATTGTTTAATTATGATTTTACCATATAGTCACATGCAATAAATAATAATAATAAGATCATTTTATTGTACATTATATAAAAGAAATTATATATACAACAATTTATAAAGTTAAAATACTATGTTATATTTTCTCTTTTAATCAAACAACCCAAAGCCAATTTCTGTAATTATAGGAATAACCTTTTTTGCTCTCAACAAAACATCATCTGTAAAACTTTGAGTAGCCTCATAACATAATTCTTTCAAATTACCTGTTTTAATGGCGTAATCTATTATAAAATTTAAAGTTTCATTATCTAGTTCATCCAGATAAATAGTTAATTTGGACAATGAAAATTTACACTCCGCAAGAAATGCAACCAAATATTCTTGATTAGCTGTTAAATCGAAATCTAACTCTTCAAGTGTGGTAGAAATTGTTTTTGCGATTTGTAAAATCGCATCTTTGGTAAATTTTGTATTATCTTGTCCTTTTTTTACTTCTAAGAATTGAAGCTTTTTTAACTTTGAAAGAGCTTGTATGAAACACTCATGCATTGAGAAATCGATCGCTACTGTTAAGGAAGTAAGGTTCGGGCATTGAGTAATTGCGTTTATCCATAATTTGTCAGAACCTCTAAGCGATAATTCTTGTAAACTCGACCCAGACATTCTGATAATTATAGAAAAAAATGGATTGAATACAGGATAGTGGGTCACCCCGCAACTCACTAATTCTTTAATTCGAAATTGTGTTCCTGAATGTAAAATTGGTAGAGGACTTGGCTCGATTTGTATGTTTCGTCTATAGTAATAAACAAAGTTCAATGTATCTAAGTTAAAAGGTGATAAATAAGAAATTAAGAGAGGAATGTCATAGAATTGAATTATTTCAAGATATTTTAAAGAATGAGATTGACTTGAGAGAGCAGAGAAAAATAAAGGTGATTGCGAATTATCCCAAGAAAAGCAAATGGTGAGATATTGAAGTTTGTGTTGAGAATTGATCAATTGGAATAAATGTTTGCATATTTCTGGTTGAATAAACTCGTTTTCAATCGTATTTATAGAGATATTAAGATTTTTAATATTACGAGCATATAAAGATAATTTCTCACAAAGTAGAGATATATTTAACGCTGTTATCTGGGAAGGCCGGATTTTTATATTTAATATGGCCAATTTTGAAAAAGTATGCAAAATTCCTTTCACACATGGATCCAATGGAAGGTACATAAGGCAAATTTTATTATGATCGCAGTGATCAATAATGCTTAATGTACGTAAGCCGGCGGAGTGACTTAATATATATTGACCGATTGTTATATTGCAAAGATGTAATGCATTTTGAAATTCTTCATTATTAGTAGTACGTTTAACGGTCTTCCTGCACCAAGCAGACAATACTACATCGAAAGAATTACAATTCAAAAGCCATAAGTATTTGGGGTAATTAAAGAGAACTGGCTTAAAATCCTCTTGAATATTTATATTGTTGCATATTAAGGTCTGTCTTTGCATTTCTGAGAGACATTTTACATAAATGTCAATAATATTTACTCCTTTATCAGAAGACATGCCATAAGTAAAGGTATTGCGCCATAGTAAAGGGATGGCAGATCTACACCATTGTCGATTGACCAAGGCACAAGAGAAAAGTGCCTTATGATTATCAAGCAGGTGAAAGATTATCTCTTCAACACAATCGGGGATAAGAGGAAAAGGAACAATTGATGAATTAATTGATGAATTCATTTAATTAGAATACACGTTTTGTTTTTAATCATTTGTTAAGATGACAAATTTAAAGAGGCTAAATGTGTAGAATCCGACTAATTTATATGTTAAGAAGCGCAGCATGTTATCATGACACGATTGAATTGTGACCACTGACCGCAGCTTACAATGTAACATATAAATATCTTTAACATCTGCGCATTTGCAGATGTGGGATTGATTGGTGTATGAAAATTTCTTGTACTGCAGTACTAACTGAGATGGCATCTGTGCAACATATAAACGAGTTGGTGCAACCGGTAAAACTGCGGCTTTGCCACTCGTACTGTGATGCTGAATCTAATACTAATTGACAAAACTCGAAAAGTTTTTGTTGTGCAACCTGATATTAAAACGGGATTAGAGAATCAATTCTCTGGAATAATAAGTGGTTTTTTATATTTGTTTCGAGAAAGATTTTGAGCATAAGTGGTATACGTATACGTAGTAAGTAATTCAATATAGTAGATTTAGGACGTTCTCAAGCACCAACCTCAATGAATACAATAAAAAATCTGATTGGCTAGTTTGATTAAACTAACCAATCAGATTCGTTATTGAGTCCATTGAGGTAGGTGCTTGAGAACACCCTAAGTCTGGATAGTAAACTTTCATTCTGATTTGAACGTTAATACAGGTGACTGTGACAGACTTCTCTCCGTACAATAAGCATATCACATATTAGCAAAAATATATGAACTTACAAACTTCGAATTCTTATACAGTGATAAATAAATTTATTATTTTGGATTCCCTCCAACATCTTCTATAATGTTAGAGTTTGGTTTCAAAGATCCAAAATAGTTTTTTTTTAAGATCTTAAGATAGGCATAACATTTTACTAGTGGCAATGTCAAGTAAAATGGGTAGACTCAATTGAGAACATACAGAGATGGGTATCATAATTCAATTAGATCACTTTGCTAAAATCTGCCTTGAAACAGACAAGAACTTAGCATTCCTCTAAAAAAAGTTACGCCCTTGGGTTTAAATTTAAAATGCAGCTTTTTTGCTTATCGCTCTAATTGGTATAATCGTATTCAACGAATGCGTGTTGCGAGTTGTTGATCACTTAAAAAGGAAGTTGCCTTGAAACGGATAGGATAAATTCAAAACGACAATATTAAGAGAAATGAAGAAAATTTCTAGCAGAAAGAATAGTCAATACGATTATTAAATTACGTATATTGTACAAAGATTAATGATGTCATAACCGAAAGAATTGATACTAGAGATGTAGAAACTTATGCCAAGCTAACCAAGGAACCCCGTGATATCTTCGTGATAATCACATCACATGATTAAGTGTTCGGCCTACGTTAGGGTTAGTGTTAGGGTTAGGTGATAGGTTAGTTTAGGCTAATTTGTTTAGTGCTAGTAAACAAATGATGTAGTTGCATGATTTCATGTGATGTGATTATCACGAAGATATCACGGGGTTCCTTGATCTTCAAGTGTCCCCTGCATTTTAATTGATGTGTTGAATTTTACTAATATTTAAAGTATAGGCACCTAATTTTAAGCACATTATTTTATACTAGGGAGATTTGATATAGTAAATCATTCATTATAGTTTCAGCGAAAACGCAGGAACACTGCTTTCCAATTTAACATATAATATATTATTCAGAGTTTTAAGTTGCAAAATTTAATTGTAAATTATTATAAACCTTGGCTAAGGAGTTAATAGTTATTTGTAGTTGATGTCTCTGTTTAACAAATAAAATATTAATTACTCTACATGGGTATAATATCCATCTTTTTGAATTATTCAAGAGCTGTGAAATAAATTCAAATTGAATAATCGATTATATTGCTATTTAATACGATATCTACGTATAAAAAAAAACTTGGTATCATACTGTAGAATCCTTCAAATTCCGCCATAAAGTAAAAATAAAATTGTATGCAAACTATTGTTTAAATTAATTATTATGATCATTATATTTGTATAAAAAAATAAAATGAAATGAACATTTAAACGTACAACTATTTAGCAACGAAGTTTTGTTAAGTTTTGTTATGAATCTGGAATATTTCATATTCATCCACTAAAAAGAATGAACGCGAAGAAACATATGTAGATTCCTTTCTAATTAGTTTTTCATAACTTTCTCCTTTGTAGCAAAAACATCCATTATTATTATAGGAACTATACATATAGAGACTGTTACCAAAGGCTGGTCCATAACAAAAATTATTAACAATTGCGCTGCTGTCTTTCACACGAACACGACTTAAATTAGAATTTTGGATAGTACCATTCTTCAATGAAAAAATAAAGCAATCTTTGCAACTTTTAGTACCATTTACTGATTTATCCCATCCAATGGGGTTATATCCACCAAGAATTTCATCAGTGTCTTGAACTTTTATGACAATAACTAAATTTTTTCGCATATTGCATAAATTCCAAAATGATTCACGAGTAAATCCATTTCTGCTCCCACGAAGAAGTAATTTAAATTCATATGGATTATTTGATCTAGAATACATAACTATACTTCTATCAATCCATGAAGCAATTTCAGCAGCATGTGCTTCGTTAATAACATTCGAAAATAGTTCTATTGATCTCCGTGGTAATTCTGTTGTTAAAATCATACGAGGTGGAAGAATCACTGATGATATTGGTCGATTTGGTGCCATATGTTTTTTAACTAAATCTTTCCAAATATTTTTTTCGAGGATTCGTTTATATGGCTGAATATATTCGTAAATATCATCTCCAGGGATTTGAAAATAACGGATAAGAGGTAAGCAATTTTTTAAAGTAGTTTTAAGTGTTAAAATGTTTTCATTAGACCAATCTTCAGGAGCGGGTGATAAACCAGGATTTTGTGCAATACCATCTGATAACATAATTCCAAATTTTAACTTCTTCCATTTGTAAATCATTACGCTCAATCAACGAAACTAATGCATTTTCCTGAAGATATGTAAAATCCTCGGATTCAAAAACTTTATTGGGATACTTTACTACAATATCGTTACACCATTTTTGTAACTTTGAAAGTTTGTTATTTTTGAAACTTTCTTGATAAATACGAGCAAAATTTAAACGAAGCCAATGCGCATTTGATTCAATTAAAAAAGTTTCGAGTTGTTTAGCTAACTCTTCAAAAATAAGTTCATATGCAACAAGAATTAGCTCAAAAATAAATGATGCTTCAAGATTTTCTAACAAAGCTATCCCTCCATAAATATATCTTAATATATATTATGATAAAGAATGTTAGTAACTTCGTTATACATTATATAGGTTAAAATAATATATAAGCTTACTTGATAAGAATTTTAAATTGCTGTATAGAAACATTTTTCAAATTAATCGTTTTAATATTATTTTTATCTTTGCTAGCTGTTTTCAATTCATTACGGAAATATAAAGATCGATGTTTCAAAATAGCTGAATGTGCGTGAAATATTTTATCATTCTGAGGTTCACCAATTTTAATAATAACATTAAAGTCTTCTTTATCTTCAAGAAGTTCAAGGTAATTGCTTGAAAGATTTTCAAAAAATTTCACTGCCATTTAGTTTAAAAGTTTCAAATAGAGGTAAGAAAGTAGTAGTACTACATTTCACATTTATCCTTTATTTACTGTACACACCCGCATGACTAGATTTGCCATTTTAGTTTTTTGCAACAATAGTGTTAATTTAACGCATTTTATTTTCTAGACTTAAAAAATTTGTGCAATGTAAAAAATGCAACACAATGTGGAAATAAGGATTATATCAAAAAAGATATAATTAGATTATTGAGTAGATTTCTTAACAATTAGAAAGAAAAATTAATCAAGATGATTAAATATAAAATTTTTTAGCAATCTCATACAATCACGTATATCTCAATGTACACTTATTCTTTTTCTAGTTTACAATAAATTCTCTTGGTTTTTTCAAGAATGTAAGATAGTATTTTTAATTTATATAATTCCATTAGTATATTTTTTATATATTTATATATAAATTCTATCATATTTATTTCTAAAGTTGAAGATATGTACGTTGTAACTACCGTAGGATATAAATTATGAACTTATTTACGGATCCAACGATAGTTAGCAAAAATTAGGTATGGGTTTGGCGAATAATATTATGATTAAACGAACATTTTTAAGTTTATTATATTTATTTTAGGGAATTATTATATTACAGGGAGTCGCTATTCTATTTACAATTCGATTTATCATCCAAAACGTATCGAAGAAAGTCGTTTCATTCGCACTGATTTAGCTGGCGAATAAAAAAATTAGTGGGATTAAAATTGACAAATAAGTTCACAATTAACAGATTTAAGATTTACCTGTAAACTCATAAATACTTATCTGCCATTACATCCAAGCCATCTCATTTGCGTTAATTTAATCAGTGAGTATAAAGATTATTTCAATTCAGTCAATATTATTATCCATATTGAAGAGAACTACTCGAGAACGTACTTAATATGTAAGAATTTATCAATTAAAATATTCAAGGTAAGCTACATATTTCATTAAATTATATTTTTTTATTCAGTTTGAATATATTATTCATCTATCATTTAATTGATCCTTATAATTTAAACCAAACTTTAATGACATCACTTAGAAAAAAATATATTTGTGGAGACAGTGATTGGAACTTGCGTGTGCACTTAAAGAAGTTGTACATTTTTTTCGTATCAGAGACACGGGGGGTTATACGCTAGTTCTAAATAAATTACAATTACTAGCATAGCAGACTATACCGATACGCACGTACTGTACGTTGTTATGCTTAGATGGTTACTATAATTTTTGTATTACGAAATCACT